TAAAAGAAAAGCGTAAAGTAATGAAATAAAGTTAGCAAATAATAATTATGATATGTGAATATGATGTCTATAATATTAGAGATTATTAATAATTAAGCTGTTAATAATTTTATGAGCATCAATAGGTTTAGTCAGAAGACAAAATCCACTCTAAATAAGGTAAAAGTCTTCAGTGGCTAATTGCACCCTAAGATCTAACAAGGTATTGGAAAAGGAGTTATGATCAAAAGATATTTTATTTTAACAAATTAAAATATAAATATAATCAAATGCATTTATATCATTAATAAATGTACATCTTCAAGTATGTATTTATTCTATATTCTTAAAGAAACAAGCTATGTTCGTTGGATTTCACATTTCCACTTCAAATGCAATTAAATTAAAATCTTCATACAGTTTTGCTCATATCCTAACATTAATATATAAGATACTTTCCCAATTGTATATGACTCAAAACCAAGTAATATAAATTCATTATTTATTTTTTTTAAATTATGAAAAATACTTCTGAAAACTAGCAGGAAACCGTATCTGATATTTTTGCCAATGTTTTGGAGGTGGATGAAGAAATATTCACTCATATAATAGATATGTTTAGAAAAGAAAACATAACAGATACTATTCAATATCTTTCGATAGAAGATAATCAAAGACATCTTCAATCAAACATAATAAAACTCAAGAATTCATCAAATACAGATGAAGGATACAAGTTATCAGATTTAAGAAAGGACATTAAGATTATTCATAATACACTCAAAACAATTAAATACAATGAAATTAATTTAAAGGATTTCTCTTCTGAATAATATTTAGAATTAAAAAAAGATATAATAAGTAAAATAGCAGATAATAAAAAGATCAGATCTTTTTTAATATTGTTAGTTCATTTAACTGCTATTGATAAATAATTCATATTATGTGGGTCTAATTCACTTCACTTATTAGTTGAATTGAAGGCAGATTTAAAGAACAAGTGCTTTGAAAATATCAGGATTGAAAATACTTCTTTAATTGGTGGAACTTTTGTAAGATGTAGCTTTAATGGATCATAATTAGACAATGTTGATATCAGCGGAGTAAATTTAAATGGAGCTTAACTATTCAATTGTAAATGGAACAACATCAGAATACATGAATTAAATAAATTGGAAGGTCATTGTGATTATGTATTGTCAGTTAGTATCTCTCCTGATGGTAGGATATTGCCATCTGGTGGTGGTGATTGGGCTAAGAAAGAGAAGGCAGATAACTCTATCCGATTATGGGATCTTAAAACAGGGTAATTAAAAGCAAAATTAGATGGTCATGCTAATGTTGTAAGGTCAGTACGTTTCTCTCCTGATGGAAATACCTTAGTTTCAAGTAGTGATGATGAGTCTATACGTTTATGGGATATCAAGACAGGATAATTAAAAAAATAATTAGATGGTCATGTTGATCTTAGCTTCCAGTAGTGATGATGAGTGTATATGTTTATGGGATGTTAACACAGGATAATTAAAAAGTAAATTAGATGGTCATGGTGATTATGTCATATCAGTCTGTTTCTCACCTGATGGAAATACTTTAGCTTCTGGTAGTGCAGATAAGTATATACGTTTATGGGATGTTAAGACAGGAGAACTAAAGGCAAAATTAGAAGGTCATAGTGATATTGTGAAATCAGTTTGTTTCTCTCCTGACGGAAATACTTTAGCATCTGGTAGTAGTGATAACTGTATATGTTTATGGGATCTTACGACAGGATAATAAAAAAATTAATTAGATGGCCATACTAGTTATGTCTACTCAGTCTGTTTCTCTCCTGATGGATATATTTTAGCTTCTGGCAGTGGAGATAAGTCTATACGTTTATGGGATGTTAATACAGGATAATATAAAACTAAATTAGAT